CCCTTCGATCTTTTTGTAAGTCGCAGAATACCAGGAATCTTCCTCCTCGGTGTTGCTTAGCAAGAGCGAATGTGTTCGAAACGCGAACGCGATATTAATCAAATGTAAATAAAATGCAAAAAAAAAAAATGAAAATTAGCTGCTTCTATTGTTGGCACTACCTCTTTTTTTCCCACCTGCATTCCATTAATGTTATTAATATTCTCGCCTTATCTTATTGCCTGCAACTATTTCAGGCTCGTATATCCCCTGGTAAGCTCATCAACCATCTTTCTTTCTCTCTCTCTCTCTCTCTCTCTCTCTCTCTCTCTCTCCCTCTCCCTCCGTGCGGTCTTTTTAATATATCGCCGATTCCGATCTTGTCAACAACTGTAGCCTCCTTTTTTCACCGAATCTCGGGGGGCTTGTCTCACATTCTAAACAAGTCGTATCTACGTATCCATCTAACCATGCACAACATCCGCCGTCCGTCGCGCGCGCTCGACTGCATTTCTACGTCACTAAACGCGCATTCCACCGTTCCACGATGCACCTCTGTCCTCCTTCGTCTCCTTGCTCTTGTTCGACCGCGGCGCCCACCGTCGACGCTCGCGATGATCGCCCGCTGCTTCTTCTTCTTCCATCCTCCTCCCCTCTCCCGCCCGCTTTTACATTCTACCCCGTCTATTTTCGAACTCGTTGAAAAGCGACACGGAGACAGCGACTTTCGCACGCGCCGCCATGTTCGCGATGAACGCTCGTCCTGATGTGTTAGGAAAATTCAAGGACTCCTCGCTAATTTCCTATATTTTTTCCTCTCTCTCTCTTTTTTTCTTTCTACAATTTTCCTAATATAGATTACTAATTAATAAGCGAAGGATTAGAGAGAACGCACCGATTGAAGTACTTTAAGAAATTAGAGAAAGCTAAGACGAAAGCGAAACACTTTATACAAACGTGAAACCCTCCGGCAAATCTGCTAACATTTATGACAAGTTTCGCATGAAGCCTCTCTCTCTCTTTCTCTCTCTCTCTCTCGCCGTGACTTCTCGCTCGGCATGAAAAGAGGAGTCCAACGTGTGCTGGCTATCATCTCGGCGAAGAAACCCCTCGACGATCGAGATGACGATCGGTCGACGACATTCGACTCTCCAGGAAGACGCGGAGCAAAGGGAGTAAAAGAAACGACGACACACAGGCGGACGGAAGGAGCTCGGGAGGCGACGAGGAAACCGCAAAGAACGATAATGACGAGACGAGAGGACGCAGAAAGCGAGAGGCACAAAAGAGAGGACGCCGTGGAAGAGAAACTGGCCCGAGGTAATTGCCGGGGCGTCTCTTCGCACCTCATCATCATCATCAACAGCCGCGTCGCCCTCGTCGTCGTCGTCGTCGTCGTCGTCGTCGTCGTAGCCGTCGAGAGGGCCTTCCCGGGACCACCCGTTAGAGTCACCGACGCCCGATCCCGTCGGCTCTCGTCTCCGCATCGGCAGACGGAGAGTGCTCGCGCGCCCGTCTTCGTCAAATGCTTCGTCGAAAACAACGACGAGCAGCCCGACAAGCGAAGCGTTTCGCAATGCTCGGGCAACGCGGATAATGATCGAAGGATACCCGATACTTATGCGAGATACTTAATTATATTAAGTGTCACGCTAGATCTGGCGGATCGTCGCTGCTCCCTAATAATTCTAATTGGAAATTATTGCCACATATATCTTGTATAAAAATTGTCTATCCCAAAAGTATTCAAATAGATATTCCTAATATATAAACATATATTATATATATATATTTTCTTAGACAGAAAGATAAAGGGAAAAATAATACAAAGAGTATAACATTTAAAATTCCAAAAAAATGTTACACATGTCAAATTACTAATTTAATTAAAGAACGAAAGATAAATTATGTAAAATAAAAATCCAATTATTTTTCTCCAGTTACATATTTTTTTAACATTTTGTTCCTGATAGTGGAAACAAGTATCATATCGCGCCATGTGTGTCACAGCTCCTCAAAGATTAAGAGTCGACAGAAGTGATGGGCTAATTTCGAATTTATTATCTGCACCTTAAACGTGGTCCAGATAGCTCTACTGTATTATATTTTCGTACACTGTTTCTCGTACACTATTAAATTCAAGTGTCAAATTATACCCAATTTTAGATATTTTTAAACATTTCTATAAGTCGCTACTGCTCTTATCCAATATTTCGTTAATTTAACTAAAACAATTAACTCGAGAAATTTAAATTTTTTGACTCAAATTTAATTTATATTTTTACTAAATATATAGTTAATATAAAGCAATTCAACCACAGAAATGAGTTAATTAAATATGGTGGTTTTTTAACTACATATTTTATATTAAAATAATACATTTTGACACACATGGAAGTTAAAAATAATGAAATGTTACTTAACTCGAGGAATTGAGTTACAGTTGCTCCTTTCTTTTAACAATATTTAACATATACATATGTATTTAACAGTGTAGAAGAAATATTTTGCCATGAGATTTTTTAGCTTATGTTTTAACTGCTAAAGAGTCGAATTTTGCAATTTTATCCTTACACGGAAAGAACGATTTTGTTAAAAGGTCTAAAAATTTTGCTGGATATAGATCTGAAAATAATTTCGTTGGAAACTAAAAAATAATGTGCAGTGTAAAAATAATATTCTAGCAGTCAACTTTAATATACTTATTTCCAACAAAATTATTTTGATAGTCCAACAAACTTATTTTCAGTATTCAGCAAAATCGTTTTTTTCCGTATACATTGTGCAGATTGAGTGAGATATCAGAATAAATTTTTATTTTTCCTTTTTTCTAAAAAAATTACTTTATAAAACAGGCTGTAAGACCTGTCTTGGTTGTTCAATATTCTTGTCATTATTCTTGTTATCTCCTGCAGAATATCACAATTACATTGCGATTTTTTAACCGTAATTCGATTGGACAGACATTTGTTTTTGATATTCCCATAATTTTTCCTGTCAACCCTTAAAGAATTTTGCCCGAATCGAACTCGAGAGCTGTGCGTTCTCCGTCTGAAAAAAAAAAAAGAAGCCTGCATGTCATCCCTCGAGGGAATCCACGACCGCCGTGCCGTTTCTCGCGACTTACAAGAAGAGAGATCGATTAAACGGGACCGGGATAAGCATCGGAAACGATGCCAGATAGTTGTCCGTTGTCGCCTCGGAGGATCATAGATCTTACCTACGTCGAGGTCCGAAATTCCAGCCGCCGTCGCCGCCGCTGCGGCGCGGCGGCGCGGAGGGGACGACGAAACTGTGAGCCAGCTCGAGTCGGCGCGGCGGTGGCGCGATGGTGATGGCGGCGCGGCGACGGCGGCGACGGCAGCGGAACGGGACGCGCCGCGACGCCCGTGGAATGCGAACGACGCTGACCTGGACCACACATGACGCCGCGGTCGGCTCTAAACGACTATCGTGAAATACGATAATGCCCCGTCGTTTCTCGTGCGCTGAACACGGAATCTGAACTTGGACGCGGAAGACGGCTCGCCGAGAGAGGTCGGGACTACGCGGCTATGGCAGACGCCGGGCGTTCTCCTTACGATCGTCTCGACTGTCGCAAGCGCGCTTACCCTTTGGTATATAGTTGCAATGCCACGCTCTAAACAATGGCGAACCTATTTGGGAGAGTGTCGCGTTCCTTATAGTGTGTGTAGTGGCTATCGCGTTCCTAGGCTAGTGTAGTAAGTCTCGTACTGTGTGTCTAATGCATTTCGAAGAACTGCATGTCCTAAGTTATGGTGTCTCGCACCATATCGTTTGTCGCATTTATTGTTTATATTAAATAATACGTATGAAGTAATATAACTAATCATGTTGGATATATGTCTTTGGAATAAACGATTTTGCTGAGAGGTCAAAAAATTTTGAATCTGAAAATGATTTTGTTGGAAACTTAAAGATGATAAGCATTGCTGTAAAACATTTTGATATTCTAGCAGAATCTAGCAATCAGATTGACTTTCCAACAAAATTATTTTGATGGTACAACAAGAATTATTCTCAGATCTGTATCCAGCAATATTTTTAGATCTCTTAGCAAAATCGTTTATTCCGTAGACATATATCCAACACGATATGTTATATTACTTCATACGTATTATCTAATATAAACAATAAATTTATATCAATTTGAAATCAAAACGTTATAAAATCTATAAGTCTAAAAGAAAGATACATGTTTCTCATTCCGTACACGGAAAGAATCAGTTTTGCTGGATCCAAATGTAAAAATAATTTTTTGTTTAATAATCAAAATAATTTTGTGCGAAAGTTAAAATGATTGCTAAAATATCAAGATATTTTATATAGCAATGCTTATCAGTTTTAACATTCTAACAAATTATATTGACGATTCAACAGAAAATTATTTTCAGTTCTGTATTCAGCAAAATTTTTAAACCTTTCAACAAAATTGTTCTTTCGGTGTATAAATATTTTGAAGTAGGAAATTACTATTAAAACGTTAAATTACAACAGCGAACGTTAACATACAGTTTTAAAAAGAAGATAGCGAAAGCTATATAGAATATTCCGTGCAGTAGTATTCGACATGCAAGAGGGAAGCGTATCGGTTCTCCCGAGAGTGGCGTATCCACGGGCGCTCGTTAACGTCGGCGTATCCGCCGAGGTGTTACGCCAGTGTCTTCGCGCGGTCGCTCGCTCTCGACAGAAACGATTATCGAGGATGAAAGGGAGCCGCGGCGAGCGAAATGGAGGAACCAGTCCCGTGCGGCCGGGACGCGGAGGAGACCGGAGGCCAGACCGGACGGACAGACCGACCGACCGGACAGACGGTTTTACGGGGGCCCGCCGCCGCCGACGCCGCCGCCGCCGCCGCCGCGCCGCGGCCGTGCCGAGAGTAAGGAGGCGTGCAGCAGACGGGGCGCGCGAGAAGGAGAGCGAGCGAGCGAGCGCGGGCAAAAAGAAAGGCACGCAAAGGGAGTGCGCGCAACGGTAGCGAGAAACAAAGTGAAACTTACGAGCTGATTCTGATAGGCGGTGACAGCGGTGAATATGGCCTCCGGGAATATGAAGGTCTTGTGCGGCTCCTTCTCGAGGTCCACGATCTGCTTCGTGGGGCCCGAGTCCGGCCGTTTCACCAGGTGGATCCTCGGCTGGTACTTGTGCATGGAGTTCAGAACCAGCTGCAAAATTATCGCAAACTGTAAACCGTACGTCAATCGGCAGACTCGGCGCGCAACGGTAAACAGTGGGACACTTTCGCAAATAAACGCTCGATTCTTCAAATAATAGGCGAGCGCTTCCTCCTTTCTTCGCCGGCCGTTGCCTCCGTACGACTCCGTATCGGACCGGGAGCTTTACAATAGTCACTCGTATATATACGATTTGAAAAACGCTCCTGCAGGTATACGTATCTGATCTTTCGCACGCCAAGCGCGTGATGCTATATAAATGTGTCAGCCATTTGTGCTCTTCAATTTTCGACACGCCACGCTCCCAATTTACAAATTATCGTTCATTCGCGACGCGAAATTTAGCGACGGCCGTCCCCACCCAAGCCGCGTCGTGATTCAAAGAGACGGGTGAAAATAATGTTGTAATCGCGGGATCTCTCGACGGGCAAAAAAATCGCGGGGTGTCCGATTTCGTCCAATTAAAGCCGTAACGAACTAACCGAACGATTCCGGGCTCGGACGATATACGGATAATCGTCAGACAGTTTCACGCCGTCTCCCCTTTGTGCCTCGCATTTCCATCCAGCCTTTATTATTCGACGGGTATACCATTAGGGTTCTCGAATCGCTGACGGCTCATCTCCCCCCCCCCTCCCCGCCCCCCCCTCGCGCGACGAAGACGCGCGAGATTACATCGAGTTTCACGTTGCGTTGACTTTCGGGGATTTGAATCGGCGACGAATGCCGAGGGCGTGCGATAGCATTAACAACAACGGCGTCGGCGGCGGCGGGGAGATCGGCCGCGGGAAGAAAAAGCGTATGAATTAGGAGCGCGTCTCGGGGCCGGGCGCGCTTTCTCTCTCTCTCTCTCTCTCTCTCTCTCTCTCTCTCGTTCTCTATCTATCTATCCCTCCCTCTCTCGTCTCTCTTTCTCATGCTTCTGTCTGTGTGCACGTTAGCCTCTCTGTAGCTCTTCCTTTCTCCTGCTTTAACTCCCGTCGTCGAGCCGCAACACATCCGGTCTCGCCAACTACACCAAAGTGCCAACTTTCTCATTAAGCCTCTCTCGGCCCGTGGCCGCTACTCCCAGGAGATCCCCGCGGTCGACCATCATGATCCTGCCGGTCCGTCCGGTGATGCTGGAAATGCCCATTATCTGGCATGCAGCGGCCGACCTGCCACCGTCGCCGCTTCGGTAAACGACGACTGTTTTCTGAATTAGTTGGGACGCACTTAACCCCGATTGCGTTAGTTGCTCCAAAGTCCGTTTCCGCGATCAAAGCTCCAAGGGTCAGTTCACTAGGGAGATCGCTTTCTCTGATTATATCCGGATTTTCAATTAGAGATGCGATGCTCCTCGAGAACGCTGGTCGTTAATTAAATTTTAAGGAATGCGAACGAATTTATAGCATAACTGCGCAACAACGATGAATTATGTATCTAATTATCAAAAAGTGAATTTGACATTTTATTATTTTCTTACCTATTTATAAATGACTACACAAAGTGTCTAAATCACATGCGCTTTTTCTCAGATGTTATATTTAATAAAAAGTTTATATAACTATGCGGCACAAATGGCAGTTGCATGCGTTTTCGCGCACGCGATTCTGCGCTGCCGGGAGTTTTATGTATCGTTCCGTCTTGCGATACTAATTTAAAGTTTCCAAGTATGTCCAAGACGGATTCCACTCTCGCATCCCTGTATCGACGATAGCGTAACTTTTATTTAACGATGCATCGAAACTTGGAACACGGCAAAAAGATAGAGATATGTCTCAAGAACGGCCAAACGCGTGGAAACTCCAAGGTAGCATAAGCGGCATTCGAGCGGAACGATCGGCTCCGCCATCAGCAGG